TGCATTTTTGTGTCATAGAATTGTGCCACACAATTCTTCGCCTTATCTGTTGGCTAATAAAAAAATAAAAATAACAGAGGATTTAATTTCAGGTGCCCTTGGATGTTTCTAAATCTCACTATAGTTCCAAAATATTTTTCTGTAATCAACCCTAAAAGTAATCTGACTACTTCTGCTGTTTATTGCTATTACAATTAGCCTTAATGATCTTCATTCTTATCATGTACAAGGTGACTTATTTATCATGGTCCCAGAAGAATGGAGAATATTGATAAAATACATATTTAGCTTTATGAACTTTTGATAAGTAAAACAAAGAAGAGTGGGGGTTAAGATCAATATGAAAAATAAACTATTAATGGCAGTATGAAGGTAATCTAGCTTCTTTGTTCATGTGTACTGACTTACTGCTAGGGATGTTGGTAGACAAAAATGGTCTAATCTAACCGTTGTCAGTTTTTTTCTGTCAGTGTATTCCTTTTCTGTCTTGACAGATGGAACATAGAAACCTTGTAACAAACCCCGAGCATGTAATGTAATGACAGGTTGGCTGTATATGTCTCCATGAGACTGTTTCTGTGGAGTCTAGTTCTAAATAGAGTAGCATTTAACATGGAAGACACAGCAGCTTTTGCATCTGAGACTGTCAGTCTCTGAGTTTAGGTTAAACTTGGGAGCAGTGTTGTCACTATCTTAATTCTACCAAACGCTGTAGTGCTTTTAGTTGTGAATTTAACAAGAAAATATGTTACTCAGTTTGTATGAATTGCTCCACCTTTTAAAAAGAAATTCTACTGATAAAATATGCTAAGAAAAACAAGATTTTTTTTGAAGTATTCACTGCCTGCCTAGAAATTAGGTGTTGTTTGTATTTGCTCTATAATAACAAGGTTGCATGCACATATATACAAAATGTAATTTTTGATTCTGGGCATTCAACAATAGCCACTAGAGAGGTATAAATAGTGAGTTTCCCTTTAGATATTTATTTCCGTTAGGATGTAATGAGACTGAAAGAGTTTGTGGTCTTTCAGAGAGTGTAGGAAGAGAGGGAATTACAGAATAAACTTATAAACACTCTACCTATATTTTGGAATTAATAAACAAAAGGCCCAAAAATGCAGAATATTAGTACAGCTATAAGGATTTTAAGACTAAAATAAAATGTATTTTTATTATAAAATGAATTTTCATATCAGCATTAATCTCTGCATATGAAGTTGGTTATTTAGTCACTTTAAAAACTCAAATCTTTATGTTAAATATATCAGATATGATACAATTTCTTTCTTTACTTGTAAAACAAGTCCCTCAGTGATAGGCTCACAGGCACTGGACAGTCATTTTTTTTAAATTCTGTTTTTATTTTAAACTATAATCTGTAGTCTATATATATGTCAGTTAAATTTTTATGATTACAGCTTTCCTTTTTACTGTTGTACCTTTATATTGCCATGTGCAGTATATCTGTGGAAGCATGCACAAACACTGAAGTTTACAGGCCAGCCAACAGGCTACAGTGCTATGTGTGCAGCATTGGACAGACAGTTTGTTAAGTGTAGTTAATATCCACTGCTGTGGCTGTTGTTATAAATATTCATAATATCCCATTCAAAATAATGTATTCTTTCTGTTGGTGAACAGGTATATTGTTCCCAGTAATACTCCTATTAGGCAGTCTTGCTCCCATCTTTTCTGTCCTGTGCCTGTGATTCACTTGGTTTCGTAGCTCAAGTATCTCAATATATGGACAAGAGATGAAATTTGGAGTTTCCATGTTAGCAGACTAGAAGTAGAGAACTTACTTTATCAGAAGAAGGTTTTCCAAAACTCAGGGAAACAGTCCTTATAACACAGCATAGTATACTGACAAAATTCTGACTTCTTCCTCTGTGGTGGAGAGTTAGACCTGCAGGCTCTGTGATGGACAGTAGACCTGGACACTCTGTGATGGACAGTTAGACCTGGACACTCTGTGATGGACAGTTAGACCTGGACACTCTGTGATGGATGGTTAGACCTGGACAGTCTATGATGGACAGTTAGACCCAGACACTCTGTGATGGACAGTTAGACCTGGACAGTCTGTGATGGACAGTTAGACCCAGACACTCTGTGATGGACAGTTAGACCTGGACAGTCTGTCATGGACAGTTAGACCTGGAGGCTCTGTGATGGACAGTAGACCTGGACACTCTGTGGTGGAGGAGACTTTATTCCAAAGCTTATTTTCAGTGATATAAATTAGCAGCATCATGCCACTAAGATAAGATTATAAACCCAAGAAGTCCTTGAGAAGAATTGTAACACTGGGTACTTGACTGGGACAAATGCCCTTTGCTAATATATGTCAGTCTTACCTTCATTCTATTTAACAAGTTAATTATGAATGGTATGCTGTGGTTATATTAGTATGCTAAGGCCAGTATAACAGAATATCACAGACTGTGCAGCTTAGAAGAAATTTGTTTCTCCCTGTTATGATGGCTGCAAGTCTAAGGTTATGGTCCCAGAAGATCTGACTCTTCTTTGTTTCTTTGACTTATAGATGCCACCATCCCACTGTACCCTCAATGGTCTTTCCTCTGTGTAAAAGAGTCCTGGACCTTCTTTCTGTGTCCACACGTCCTTGCTTTTGAGGGCATCAGTCATATGGGAGGAGTGCCCACTTCATTGTCTTATTTCAATTTAGCCACAGCTTCAAAAGCTCCATTGCCAAATATATTCAAATTCTGAAGTACTCCTGTGCTGAGGTGTTGGGGGTTAGGACCTTGGCACATAGATTTTGGTGACATGTTCACACAGTAACCCTATAATGAAGATTCTGAGTACAAATGGGTTCTTGATGTGGATACATTCATAAGGCAGTTTGGGATGTGCTCTGTCCAAGAGAAAGAAACAAAAGATACAACTATAGTACAGATTTAGATTGTGTATTGATACAAGTAATGCATGTGTGAACTTGGAATTGTTTTCTGGAAATATAAAACCAATAAGTAGCTTTTATGTTAATTTTATACAGATAATTTGAATTTATAACTAAGTGCACAATGTAATTTTTTAAATAAATATTTTAGTCTTATCACCATCCATGACATTTGTAAATTACAGTTGGTAAATCTTTGATATTTTCTCATAGGAAGCAGACAGGATAGATTTTATTTGATCAAAAGTAGGCACTTAAGCATAGTAATTTCTGGGTACACATGTCTAAAACCACTCTACCACATAAAACTATGTACTAAAAACCTGGACACTTACAAGAAATGAAAGCACAGCACCCAACCATTGTCAGTGACTCTCAGAAGGATAAGAACCTAACAAAAACAGCAGTGTAGTGTCAGACTTGCCAGATGGTCAGGAAGTGCATGTACTCAAGGCTTGGAGTGTGGACTTAGATTGTGGCAGTGAATACCAGAAGGATGTCAGGATATAAGCATCGTGAAGTTGAAAGGAAAGCTGCATTGGCTGGTGAATGGGCGTGGCTTACCTGAAAAGTTCCAGGAGATGTCTAGGGAATGAATGTATTTTGAGTCTTCCTCTGTGTTCATCTGGGGTTTCTTGCAGATGGGATGAACAAGAAACACAGTTCTTGTAATGCTCAGGTTGTTGCTTCATGTGTGAAGTACATCACTTCTCATTTTTACTTTTGTAAGTATTCAGAATTAGACTTTTTAAAATGAAATGTTGGGTGACAGTCTAATATTTGACTGTTACATAACAATCCAAGTAGCTTGGGGAGTTTTAAGTTTTCCAGGCTAATGAATAAGTATTGAAGGTATAAAACCAGATGTTCTCTTGATTCTAATGCTTGGTCAGTGTGGTCCCCTGAAAGGCATCAGTCCTTTGTTTCAAGAAAATAGTTGCTTTAGTGGCCACATAATATTTTATTTTCTGTTACTTACTTATTTATATTTTAGAAATTGGGCTCTATGCTATCCATCTTGGTCTTGGCTGCCTGGTCCTCCTGCCTTTGTCTCCTAAGCTCTGGGATGCTTGCACCTACCACTCCTGCCCTTACTTTTGGGATTTCCATAACACTGTTTGTTATTCCTTAAACTAAGTCAGGAAAAGCCCATAAGCACCAGTGGTTGTATTGGGGCATTCTTCTAGTCCATCTGTTGCATCTAAGAACTGGCTGTTTTGCTTCCAAGTTTAGCTGCAACAGGCTCCTGGAGAATCCTAATTCTTTGACTCCCTCTGGTGTGTTCAGGAACCATGATGCCAAGTGAAGTATTGTTTTAGTTTTTGTTTTGTTTTGTTGTTTTGTCCTTAGAACACAGTTCACTTGAGGCATCCTCAGTTCCATTCCCTAGAAATGACCAAATGACCTTTGCCTCATCACAGTTCCCATTCCCCACCATGTTCCTTTCCATCTCTGCAGCACTCTGTGCCTGCATCTCCAGTAGTACAGCATGGCACATTTGGGAGTTCAAGAGTATAGTTCCTGAGTGTGTAGAGCACATCATTATTATTTATCATGTGTGTCACAGGGCTGACTAAATGAAAGAATGAATGGAGTGTGCTTGAAAAGGCTGTCCCTGTTCCTGTTATGCAGGTTTTCCTCTCATTGGGGCTAAATTAGATGATAATTAGGTATTTGGGTCACTTGAATTCTAGTGTTATAAATCATACCTGTACATTCCAAAATTTTAGCATTGTAATAACTTTCCTTTGTGGACCAAACATCCTATACCTTCTCTAATTTTTGCTTTCTGCCACAAACAGTGTTTAAAAAAATGTAAGTTACAACTCTGGTATTGAGATTGTTATTTCATGATACAATATAGTAGTGAAATCCTGTAATTTTCAACTTTATGTTATAAGTTCTAAAGTTATTTGTGAAAGATTCTGATACTTGTGTGTTGTTGACATGGAACATAAGGAGGAGGTGATTTCTCTAAAGCAGTAAGGGGAATACTTATGCATGACATATTGGTTATGATTTCAACAGTAAGCAATTCTGAAAGCCGTTTTTAAGACTTTCTTTCTCTTTGTAGGACCTCTTTGTTGTTCGGCATGAGCTGGCTATCATGAGACTAGCTGCCTTTATGGGCATTACTATGTTAGTTGGAATAACTGGACTCTTTTACACACAACTCATTGGCATCATCACAGTAAGTATATTTTTAATGTAAACTAGCATGTATGAACAGGTGATCTAATTGTGAACTTAATTCTAAAAAGTTATGTGAAGTTTACAAGTTAAAAGAGATTATTACTTACAGTTGTTAAGTATGAAGTATATATAAAATTTTGCATCCCTCATAAAAATGAGCAGAGTATTTTTATATAACAGCAGTGCTTAATATATAACACTTGTGCTTATAGTCTTAATGACATATATTCTTTTCTATTATTAGCGTCTAGTGCAAAGTTATTTTTTCTAATCTTACTTCCTTTTATACCATACCAATCATTTTGTTTTCCTATGTCACAAATAAAACTATTTCAACATCATATTTTCCTTTAAATTACTTTAGATCAATTTCCAAAGATAGAATTGCTAAGACAAACATTTTACTGGTAATTAAACCATTTCTTGGGTATCCTAATTGATTTATTGATGTGCAAACTAACTTAAGTCGTTATTACTATTTAGAATGTCTGAAAGACTGACAGCTCCTCCTTTTATATTTGATGTGGAAAAGTCATAGAGGAATGTCATCTTCTTTGACACTTCTTATCACAACAAAAGAGATTTAAAAACAGAAAAATTGTAAAGACTGAAAAAAGAATACTCTATTGGAGAGAATGTAGGTCAAGTAGGCTTTCTTAGACATTATTGGAAGGAGTATAATTTGGCTGAACCTTGTTGGAAGGTGAATTGTCAATGCCTATCAAAATTTAAAATGTACATTCCTTTTGACCAACCTTGTCAAGCTATGTATTTGAAACATATAAACATGCTCAAAAGACTACACCATTGTATTGTGTTTGACATCTATATTTCATATGATCATTAATGCTCACAGCATACATTGAATAAAGTAAAGAAAGAAAACCTCAAAGCCTACCATTAAGCAACAGTGTTCAAGAATTGTGGTACTGGCCTGAGGATGAACATATACGTACAGGAACTAGAATTGAGAGCTATATAGTCCTTTGCTGTCTGTAGAGAATTGGTTTTTGGATGCCCTGTGGATGCCAAAATGTACAGTAGCTGCTAAAACCCCTTATTAGAAAGCATAGTATTTGCATGTACATCTCCCTGTATACTTTAAATCCTTTCTAGATCCTTTATAATATCTAATGCAGTAGCAATGCTATGTAAATTCTTGCTAAACTGTGCGAGTTGTTTAGGGTAGGATGTCTAGAAAAGTCTTTGCATGTTCAATATGGGTACAGTTTTCTTTCTAGTATTCTTAGCCCATGGTTTTGTTAAATCCACAGATACAGAACCCAGGAAAATAGAAAGCCAGCAATATATATCTATATCTATATCTGTATCTGTATATGTATATACGTGTGTGTGTGTGTGTGTGTGTGTGTGTGTGTGTTTGTGTGTGTGTGTGTGTGTGTGTGTGTGTGTGTCTGTCTGTCTGTCTGTATGTATGTATGTATGTATGTCAATGGATTTTTTGATAAAAAAAATGCCAAGACTATTCAGTGCAGAAAAGAATAGTATCAACAAATGATTCTGGGACTGCTAGTTATTCACATGCAAAAAATAAGATTGTCTCTATGCTTCATGATATATGCAAAAGTTAACGCAGAATGGATTGTAGTACTGAAATGTAGATGTGAGAGTAGTAACACTAAGAAGAAAACATAATCAACAATGTTGGTGTCTTAGATAGGACACACAAAATAAAAACTACCAGAGAAAACATAGTTGGACTTCAACAGAATGACAGACTTCTGTGCTTCAAGGGGCTCTATTCAAGGCAGTGTGAAGAGACCTTAGAGCTAGTTGGTCCTCACACACTGTTATGGTGTTATGGTTCTTTAAACAGCAAGCCACAGAGTTCTCTTAGACTCGGCAGTTCCTTTCCCATGTCCAGACCAAAAGATGGGCATGTGTACACACAGCAGCTTTATTCTGAGGAGCCCTCAACAGAAGGAAGTACAATGCCTGTTGATTCTGTAGATGCAAGGATGTGTGATTTATTCATGAGAATATGAAAAGAATGAAGTGCTGCTACGTGGTACTATGCATATAATCTTGAAGACTTAAAGACCACATGCTCCAGCGAGTCCATTTGTATGAAATGTGCAGAATAGGTACATAGAGGAAGAAAATGGCGTAGTGATTGCATAGGGCTTGGAGACTGAGGATGGACAGTTCACTGGTGTAGTTTCTTTCTGTGATAATAAACAAGTTCTGGAAGTGAAATACTGGGTCACATGATCACCTCCCCCCCCCCCCTTTTTATCAAGTGAGGCACAGTCCTGCAACAATGTATGAGAATGTTGGTTGCTCCATATCATTGCTATCTCTTGATGACAGTCTTGGTAATTGTAGCAATTTTGGTGGTTTATAATAGTACTTTTTCCATTTGTATTTCTCTGATGATGGATATTGAATACTTTACATGCTTATTTGGGTTTCATGGAACTTTGTGACATGTCTGTCTGTTTTAATCTTTTTTTATCTTTTACCATTGAGTGTAAATGTTCCTAATCCTGCTTGGTAGTGAGAGTAATAAGTGACATGGCTATGAGTAACAGTGCTGAGGATAAGGATTGTTTCCCCTAAAATTCTGCTTTCTACTGTTAAGCCCTTTCATAAGTACTTGATAATGATGAATTTCTAATTCACAAGACATGTCAAAATCAGTAAGTTATGAACATTGCTTAATTTCCAACTTTGAATCTGCCAGAATTTCTAGTGGGTATTTAAATCCCTCAAACAGAAGATTTCAGATTCCCCTGGACTTACTGTTAACAGTTAGGAGTGAACATGTGGAAACATTCAGCTAAAAGTGCATATCACTCCCGAGGACTGGCAGGGGCTAGTGGCTGAGTAACAACTTCCTCCCCCCTGCAAATCCTCATTGACTTCCAAGACTGTACTTTGATGGCAACTATTTCAAACTTTTTCAGGGGTCTCCACTATAAAATTGAGCATTTTGAGTTGAACATAATAATAAGTAAGCTACTTGTTAGTTGCTTGGTTCTAGCCTGATATTATCACAATGCGTCATGTTAATTATTATCAGATCCTATGCATTTTTAGAATATTGAATAGCAGTTCATTGTATTAAGCAGGGAAATTGAGTTCTGATAGGTTATTTCTAAACTGAGTAGAAAGCACACAAAATAGAACAACTGTGAGCCATTCAGAAAAAGATGCAAGTGCTGAGGGAATATATTTTGTCAGTCTGATACTTAACCACTGTACTTGTTCTCAAATACAAATGCTTATAATGGAATTTGTTCTAACTTGAGTTGAGAAGATAACTCATTTGGTAGCACAAGTGTGAGGACCTGAGCTTGATTCTTAGAACCTCCAGTCAAAGCCAGGTGTTGGAAGAGGGGAGCAGGTGGAGCCTTTGATTCATTGGTCAGCCATTGTAGCTGAATCAGTGAGGTCCAGATTCAGTGAGAACCTCTACCTCAAAAATAAAGTGGAGAATGACTACGGAAGGTACTTGGTATCCATGGTATCCATCCATTACACGAATGTGCACACACCCACACAAACAGCACACAGAGAAAATGAAGGAAATGACAGTAAACTTGAAGTCCATTTCCCTAGGTTGTCATGGTGAATGTCAAGCACTGCTCTTTTGAGATTAAATGAGTAATAGTTTCAGAATGTACTCCTCTCTTTGATTCAGAGAGGCTCAATTGTTTACAGACAGCATATCTTTGGTTTGTGACTTAAATCTAACAAAGGAATTACTAGCATTTGTACAAAATAACATTGAAAACATTGAAGTTAAAAATATAGACCGTGTCTACCTTCTTCATAAATAACTTGTTCTGTTCCATTTTTTATTAAACTAAGCTTGTCTATAGGCTTCATCTCTGGATACCTTTTCATCATATCAGAATGCACACATCTCTACACTGTGAGCTAGTGGTGAATTTGAAGATAACATTCAAACAATGGAGAAGTGACAGTGCATTGAGCCATTCCACGGAAGTCATCTTTCTTTTCCCTATCCTTGTTTCCCCCATGTCCAAAAGAGTCTTTGGGAAGAAAGGATATCACTTCCTTACGGAGAATTGGAGTTTCATAGCTTGAATATAGGTCTGTTAAGCAATAAATAGGCAAAACAAATGTCAGCTTTGTACTTTAAGCTAAGGTTTTAGAGAAGCAGAGTTCCAATTTTTAGTGATTATTTCCGCATTGTTTCCTTTAGCCTGGAATGAGTAACCTTCCCCTCATAATTTTATTTCCAAACTGACTAATCTGAAGTAGAATTTTAAGGGTTTACTTTATTTTCAGATTTGATTTAAATGAGACTTTAAATGTGTGTGTTGTGTGGTCTAACTGAATTGGAAGTCATGTTTACAAAAGCAATTGGCTTTGGTACAGTTTCCTTTATTTAGGAAACAAGTTATTGTAGTGGCATTTGCTGAGACTTAGCTCTTTTGCTTTTGTATCTGAATGAAGTAGACAGTGGTGTTCTTATTAATATAATTGACATCAGAATTAAGGAGCAATAGTCCCAGGCAGCAAGAGGGAAGTCCATGCTAGTGAGTCCCAGTGTTGACAGTGCAGGATAGTCAGACTGGTCCAGTTTCCAGAAGCCTAACAGCTGGCCAGTGTCCCTGGAGAGGTCTGACAGGGAGCTATTTTCTGCTGTGACATTCTTTTGACAGTTTGTCTAAATTCTGTGTACAAGCATTTCTATTTCCCGGGCACAGGAGTTTGTATGCAAGTATGAGCTTCTGATGTCATCTTTGGAGCCCAGTGCATTTGTTGTTCTGTGTGGTGAGGTTAGGGGTAGGGTGAGGAAGATGTATTGAGTTGTAGCTTTGGAAAAGCTAAGGGATTGCTGCCTTGGTCTCACAGATGCTATTGGATTCTAGTTGAATACAAAAGATAATTTAAAAAATCATTACAGAGAAAATATTTTTCTTTATACCTACTGATCCATGTTTGATTTGCAGTCAACATTTGCCTAAATATAGAAAGCCATTAGTACATGAGCAACTTTGGTGGTTTGAAGTAAATTGACCTCCATAGGCTCAGATATTTGAATAATTAGTCATTAGAGAATGGAACTCTTTGACTGAATTAGAAGGATTAGGAGGTGTGGCCTTGTTAGAGGAAGTGCATCACTGGGGTTGGGCTTTGAGCTTTCAGAAGCCCGTGTCAGGCCCAGTCAGTCTGTTTTTGTCTGTCTCTCTGTCTCTCTTTGGATCAGGATGTAGAACTCTGAGCTACTTCTCCAGCACCATGAATGCTGTGTGCTGCCAAGCTCCCCAACATGTTCCTCTACAAATGTAAGCAAGCTACAATTAAATGCCTCATTTTTTTTTTTTTAAGAGTTGCCTTGGTCATGGTGTCTCTACATGCAATAGACCTGTAACTAAGATGGTGACTTAATTTTAACTGGGGTTAATCTTATGCAATGAAAAGTATCTCATGTTCAAAATGTTAAATCAGATTAAAGGAGATTAGCTATTAAGTAGCATTTTATTAATCAATTAATGGATTTTCTTGCTTTTTAATATGTATCCAGAAATGTAGGCTTGGAATTGTCACTCTTCATAATTGAGTTTTGCCAAATATCAGTGAATCAGTGAACTGAGTTAGTGCAGTCTGTGTGCAAATCATGCTTAGCATACTTAGCTTGCAGGCAGCATTGCACATGTGCAGATTGTTGTAGCTCACATCTTTCTTTAAAGAGAGATCTCTGGCATTTTTGCTTTCCTTTCTAAATTATATATATTTTTGAAAATGTATTTCTAATATAGCATTTCTAGTTGTAAAATTATATGACATATCTTCTCAATGTCTTCTTAAAACCCTAAAAATATTGCCAAAATGTATTATGTTTCTTAGATGCTCTTCATGCTCTATGTTAATATTGGGTACATTCCTTTGTATATAGACATAATAAAGAATTTTATAGAGACTAGTTTCTCCTTTTGTGTAGTAATCAAAATTTGTGTGGAGTTGAATAACTTGTGTAAATGTATTCCTGAGCAGAAGTGGTTCTATACCTCACTTCTGTTTGCTCAGTGTGATAGACTGCTTGAAACATTAAAATTAATGTAAAAACTGAAAACAATTTAAATGTGTTTCGATAATGCTTGTAGGATAGTTAACACATAGACTTCTTAAAGGATCACCACTGAATGTAGACGCTTTATGTTGCTGTGTCGCTAAACATTTTGTGTTACTGTTACTAGGCATTTTCTCTAGAAGTTGGTTTTATCAGCTCATGATCTGAATTCATGTGCATTGTTAGGTTAGAAGTGTGGATCTTCTATGTATTGACTTTCAGTCTTTGCCAAAGGGAGCCAAGTGTCTCTCTCTCACATTCTATTGGTTCAGTGGTGATATCCCAAACCCTAGTTCCAAGGCACATTCTGTTCCCTAACTCTGTGTCTGGTACTGATAACCAAAAACTTCATCAGAAGTGTAATTTTGATGTTAAAATGTCAAAGTAGTTAGTTTTGGAAGCATAGATTTTCAGCTGTTCTGGTGACTGTGAGGCTACTGATAAAACACCTTTTGCCCAGTCACTCTCTGTGACCTGTGTGTGCCTGTGTGGTTAGTTGCCCTCTGGCCTGCATGTGTGCCTGTGTGTTTACAGTCACCCTCTGTGGCCTATGTGTGCCTGTGTGGGTTTTGTGTATGTGTGGACACTTTTAGTGACCATCAGCTTTCTTTATTAAAGACCTTGCCTTGTAGCTTGTGGTTGTTCTATATAAATACATGAGTAAATGAACAATGGTGTATACTTTGGAGTTTTGACTTTATGAATGGATTTTAAACCCCTTTCAGTTGTAGGATTACATATATAATCTCTGCCATTTGGTCTTTCATTATAAACTCTTGTAAACATAATTTGAGTAACTGTTATAATTGAGATACTTTTTTAAGCATGAGGAAGTGCTTAATAAAAACAATTAATAAAAGGAGGATTTTTCAGTCATTGAGGATTTATTAGGAATTTTATTACATGTTGATACATTTTAAACCTCACAGAAGCTTAGGATGTAAGCATTCCTACTTGGAAATTGAGGTATGGAGTTTTAATTTCTTACCAGTTTTGTGTAGCCAGATGATGGTTTGATGAAGAAAAGCAGAGAAATTATTTTGGAAAGAGCTTTTCAGTGGCTACAAATGTAAAACTTTCTGCCTCTGCACTGTTGTCCTGTTACTGAAGAAATGTTTATGTGAACTTCACATTTCAAATAAAATTTACAGGTGATCCTCTGTCAGCAATGGATGCTGAGGAACTAACTGCCTGTTTCCAGTGAGTAAACTGATGATAACCAAAATCATCAGAGGGCAGAGAGAAAGAAGATTAGCAGGCTTCCCTGCTTTCACATTGAAAAAGAATTAAAAATAAAGCGTTATGTTATTTCTGGTTTGCCCAGTTAGTCCAGTCCTGCTAACATATACCAAAGATGCCCATTTTGTACAGCCTTGTCCTGCTAGGTGCTTTTGACTTCAAAGTTAGTGGTGATTAGAAAGATAGCTCAGAGGAGTGTGTACTGCTCTTGCAGAGATCCCAGATTTGGTCAGAGTACCTCCATTGGGTAGTCCTGGGGAATCAGACACCCTCTTTTGGACTCTGTGAGCAACTTTGTTCATGTGTGGAGCACCTCCACCCCCACCATACACAAGCAACACATAATTAAAAATAAAATCATTAAAAATTAAACATGCTACTATTTGTATACTAGTGGGCAATCAAATGAAGCTCTTAAAATTAGGAAAACTCAAGCCTGGCTCTGGTGGCACATGCCTTTAATCCCAGCACCCAGGAGGCAGAGGCAGGTGGATTTCTGTGAGTTTGAGACCAGCCTGATCTACAAGAGCTAGTTCCAGGGTAACCTCCAAAGCCACAGAGAAACCCTGTCTTGAAAAACCAAAATAAATAAATAAATAAATAAATAATTTTTAAAAATTAGGGAAACTCAGAGGCAGAGCAGGTATATGATCTTGAACTACAAAAGTCTACCTGAAAAGTGTTTCCAAGGCTACATTAAGTCAGCATAGAGTCATAAATTAGGTAGCTATGTGCAGCATAAAGGCTTAATGACCAACGAGACCTTCAGTGAGAACAGAGTTCAGGTGATTGTGGAAGCTATATGGAGCGGTCTTCAGGTTCCCTCTCTGATGGTCACCTTTAGTTTCATCAGGTCTTAAATGTTTGGTATATTAAGAAACTCCTTTTGGAAACTGTTTCCAGGGTTACCTAGGCCCAAAGACAAGGACTCTTCTATACTTTGAAGATAGTTATTAGAACCAGATGGACTGTTTATCCTTTATGTTGTTCAGTGTGTCTACGAACTTTGTCTCGTTAAGTTCTTCTCCCCACAGGACAACATATGTGTCCAAGTATTGGTGCTTGGTGAGAATACACTCAAAGAAGAGTGGCTATCAGCCTTCTGTGCTGAGAGACTGGGTTCTCAGCCCTGTTAGCCTGATAACCAAGAAACCTTTGGTGATGAATTCTTGCTTTTCCTACAACACTCCCTTCCAGTTTGCCAGTAAACCCATTGTTCCCATCCCAGCATAATCTAGTCGGTAAGCTAGAATGCAGTTTTCTCTTACAGTCAAACATAATTTTACACTGAATCTGAAAGACCTCTTCTTGTGCCAAGATTAGCCATTAGGAGAAGGCAAAGTATTGACAGAGAAAATAGAGAAGGTAATATCTGTCTCTAAAATTCTTGCTGAATTTAGTTTTTTAAAAATGTGAAACTCCAGTTTTTAAAACATGAGGCATTTCTTCTTGCATTGCTTAGTTATAGAGGCTGATTGAAGTATTAGATATTTTTGATCATTAAATCATTCCGGGCATCAACATTTCTTACAACTAATTGCAGCAACACCCAGTAAATGTGTGATTTTTACATTCCTGAAAGAATGGTTAATTTGCTACCTAGCTAAAGCTGTATGTTGTGTTTATTCCTTCTGTAGCATTTGTCTTAGTGGTCCTTCCCTAGTGCCACCAAAAAGATGGAGTATTTTCAGTATGCTTTAAAAAAATGCCACATTTGTCCACATTGTAAAACAAAACAAAGTAGGCTGTATTTAGCAGCTGTGGATAGCATGGTTTGCATTTCCTGTGGTAATAATCTGTTCTGGAGTATTTAAGCCTGCTTGCTAGTGGGAAGGTCTCACTCTGACTCTTGCTTGATGCTTCTAGAGTGAGGGTTTACTATGCTCTGGTGTTCAGGTACTGACTTAGGCTGTTTTTTGTGTAAACGGTATTTTGGATGCGAGGTAGAGAGAGGTGAGCATTTTCCATTCTAGAGAAAACAGTGGCTTAATTTGGGCAGCCTCATAATCCCTGTTTATAACAGAGTAAACATCTCATCCTTTGAAAGAGCAGCTATCTGCTCATGATTTAAAGATGAGTATTGTCTGTCTCTTGAAGTAGGCTCTAGAAAATTGTCTGAGTACTTCAAAGGGTTTCTGTATGTGAAAGCTAAACTTGGAGTCTTTAAAGTTAGTTCTTTCTAGGACCACAAGTAAATTACTCAGTGTAGATTCTGTGCAGTAAAAGTTATCCCCAGGACTAATGGTGACAGTAGATGAACCTACCTTGCCTGTCCTCACGTAGCTTTCAGGCATACAGGTGTCAGTGGCTGTATTTCAGGCATTCATATGCCTTACAGCAGTGGCTCTCAACATGTGAGTCGTGACCCCTTTACAGGAGCCACATGTCAGATACTTACATTATAGTTCAGAACACTAGCAAAATCACAGTTAGGAAGTGGTCATGTAAGTAACTTAGGAAGGTTGATAGCCACTGCTGTGAGATAGTATGTGGTGACTCTGTCCTCTTCTTCCTCTGCACTTTGGTGCGGGTACCTTTGCAGTTGCATGTCACTAAAATGACCTGATCTACTTCCTTTATAGATGTGAACCTGGAGCCCAGCTTTCCTCTAAATTCTTAAGAAATATTCTCTTTTATCTGTAGGCTGTGTTTGCATTTAGAATAAATAAAATACTGTTTTGAGAAGAAGTTATGCAATACAATAAAAAGCTTATTTTCAACAGAATTGTCAAATGCCATCATCAATTTCAAGGCATAATTTAAAAAAAAAAAACTAATGTATACAGAACATGTAGCAAGTCTGCCATTTTTTTTACAAATCTTCAGAAAACTCTGTAAATAAAATTACTGTTTGTTTCTAGTCTCCTAAAACTCAGATGTTCTTCTCCCTTCTAGCTGCTTGTTCAGCATGTCTGACAGTTTGTCATCACAAGTACTCATCTAGCATGACTAAATGTAAAGGACTGTGGGTTAGCACTGCTAAAGGAAGTTCTGTATTCTCATGAGTAGTTCTGATTAATATTGTTATTCTCTAGCGCCCACCATATGTGAGCAAGTTATTAAGGTCAAGTCAAGGGAGAAGGTGAAGATGTATCTAATGTTTTTCACATTTGAAACTATGTCCTTTGTATTGCTTTAAAAATGTACTTACACTCTAAATTTTTATCTAAATGTAAGGTTGTACAATTTATATTTTGGGTATTTGGATATGGTAATGTTTGTCAGAATAATTGATAGGCCCTCTGTTATTACAGTTTGCATCAGCATTTTCAGAAACTGTCTTCTGCTGAAGTGCTTTCCTTCTGTGTCTGCATTACATCCTTGTTAAAACACCCAGAAGAGACTATGTTGTAAAGATTTGGTTTGTTTGTTGGGGAAAAAGAGAAATGTCTTATTTCAATTAAGGATATTAAGCAACTAACTTTAATTTTCATATTGAAAGATATAACATGATTAATTTATAGATTGCCTTATTGAATTTTGTAATTTATATAAGTCTATAAAACCCAGAGTCACTAGCACTCTTTGTATCTTGGTAGTTCTGTATTCATTGATGGTTTTTATGTATTATTTGATACTCTTTTATTTTTAATATATATTTGCAGATAGTTGAGTTGAGTTGAATGGAAATAACTAGGATTTTAAAAGAATTATCAAGGAATCAGGTGTCCTCAGTGGCTATAATTGAATGTTTCTCTTAGAGGTGTTTGAAACTTTTTTAATTCATTAGTTTTTTTTGACATGATGTAATGTTGATTTTATTTCTCTAAGGGGACACCAGAATGTATGTAGATAAACAAACTTGTTAAATCTCTAGAATATTTTCTGAATAGGCTTAAGTATTTCATAAAGCAGAAGTATTGATAAATTTGTTACATCTGAATATAATTTTTCTATTTTTAAAGGATACAACATCCATTGAAAAGATGTCAAACTGTTGTGAAGAAATGTAAGTATAAAGTTTGTAGTGATCTTATTTAAAAATAAAAACAACTGATCACCTTTGAGAATTGTGTGCATATGCTAATAGTAGGGAACTAATATAATGATGGCCTTTTCTTGGTGCCCCGTCTGAGGCCCAGGCTAGACAGGCGTGTCCCAAGTCTTACAGTAGGGGTTTTTCAGCCATCAGAGTTTTTAAACAAAATAAGTACTGATCACTCTTGTTTCCTGTCTCACAGAAGTAAGTTAAATTATTTGTCCTGAAAATACATCAAAAGGGATTTGCTACTGTGTTGTTGACACACATTCTGTTATGCTGAGCTCGTCCTCGGCTTCCAAAGTTACCCTGGGTTGATTGACGACGCAGATACAATATCTGCTCTCCGGAGCTGAAGCTCAGCTGCATGCCACATTGAAAGAAAAGCTGTATTTGTGATGCTGGGACACAATGCATCAGAGTCCAGTAATGGATCCCCAGCCAACCTGTATTGTTTTAGCTGACTGAAGTGCACCATGGGAGTGCTGTCTTTCACTAATAATGCTGTCTTCTGTAGATCGCGGCCCCGAAAGCCATGGCAGCAGACCTTCTCAGAAGTTTTTGGCACTCGTTGGAAGATCCTGTGGTTCATTCCTTTCAGGCAGAGGCAACCACTGCGAGTTCCCTACCACTTTGCCAATCATGTCTAAACAGATGGATGGTGGGCACAGATGGGTCCTCCATGCTGGAAATGAGTTACAGGTTTTATGAGAATAGAACTATGACAGTCTTCAAGTCAATTAAAATCCACCCACCAATCTTGGGCATCATAATGTGCCCCAGGCTTTATTTTAATAGTGATCTTGATCCTGTTGTGGGACTAATACAAGATCTATATTTAAGTTTTAAAAGCATGTTTACTTTCAAATTAGCCTTCCACCAGGACTTCTTTAAATGCTTTTGTTACTAAACTCAAAAGGCAGTGATTGGGATGAAATCATTGTACATAAATTTCCTTCAGTACTTATAGTATTCTAAATTTTAATTTATTGGAAATTTGAGATATTTAATGTTTACCTTTAAACAGTACTAACCAAATTTGAATTTAATTCTTCAGGTTTACAAAACTTGATACACTTTGTTATGTGTAAATTTTCTTTTTTGAATATAAGTTAAAATGCTTTTCATTACTTCCTTTTCTATGTGCTGCAGGGTTTTTAATATGCAGTGTAGGGTGAACAGCAAAGGGCAGTACTGGTCTCGGAGCAGCTCTCTGATGCTGCCTTCTTTCCTGCTCATCAAAAGTGAAATAAGACACACGAGTGTGGTGTATCAACCGCTACCTTGTTATAACAGAAAAGTTCATTTTCCCTTCTGCTGCAGTTATTGATGGCTATTGCAATGTTTGCTCCCAAGAGAAATTTGTGACCAGTAAGGCATATATTCCTAATTTTACCCTATGATTCTATTGACTGAAAAGGGTAGGAAGTTGGCAATAATTCCAGTTAATTTTTCAAGTGCAGTTATATCAGAATGCAGATGTTTTAAAATGCTAGTATAACTGGATGGTGTGTAATACACAGTATATAAAGGAATACTGTGTTTTAAAGTATGTATATTTTTACTTATCTGCCAGTAGATCTCACTGTACACATTGATGGTTTATATATTATATAATAGATACTGATCAGCTCATACTGAAGTTTAAAAGTAGGTCATTAACTTTATATACCAGTAATCACCCAGGTTGAAATTGAATTTCCGTTGCCCAGTTATAATTTGCATCACTCTAGAGACCTTTTATTAGTAGCTGATGCCAGGAAATTATCTTAAAATAGAGTGATCTATGGTAGTGATAGTCCTTGACAAACATAGATCCTTTTTTGTATGCAAAGACATTTTTATGATTTAAGTATTTCATTTAGAATACTGCAAATCCATATGTTTGAAAAGTGTGTGTGCTAGTGATCTTTCCCCTGAAAATAATATAGAACAAATCTACCATTCTTGAACCACATACATGCTTTTCTTACAGGTAGTTGTAAAGTAAGGAATCATAGCTTGGAAATACTGAAACAGAGATTATTATTGTTAGCCAGTCAGCTATACTGTGGCTAGTTCTTTCAGATACTGTAAATGTCTTATAAAATATTCTGAAGTGATAGAATAAGCTCTTTTCAGAAATATTAATACCATAATTTCATGTTCTAATTATGTTTATTTAAAAACTTAGAAGTGGCAGATGAAAATATTTATTGGTGCTAAGACATATAGTGAGTTTAATATAAGAAACATTTATAAAGGTTAGGAAACAAAATTAATATGTTTATTTTAAGCAGATGGGTTGGATTTTGTTCAAGCTGATTGACTAAATTGGCTGATGACAGATTCTAAAAGGAAGTGGTATATATATAATGTAGGGAGATACAGGTTGATGCCTTCAGCTATATATATTCTGTTCACAAAAGACCTGGAGCATTCATAGCAGAGCCAAATGAAGGCCCAGTTTGGAGCTTTGTAGACTTGCTTCCTCCAGTAATAGCAGTAGCTCTGACAAAAGGTAATGGGTATGGTCTCTTTCCCATGCTGGGGATTTGTGGGTATGGTTTTCTTAGGTATACCACTTCTAGGGCACATTCTCTTCCCTCTGTCTTTACTCTCCCAGGTCCTGATCCCTCTCCACAGTTCCGTTGAGTCATTGAACTACAAAACTAATGCCCTAGTTTGAGCTACTGAATGCTATTATCAATGTATTTACACAATCTATATTGCAGTATATCTATATATATAATTATGCAGTATTGTCAAATGTATATGTCTAACCCCACTAGGGGTTTGTAATCACTATTAGATTCCTAGAGAAAAGCCTGTTGGCCATTTCCTAGGGATTAAGCTCCTATGTTCTTTCTGCGCCCTCTTTTGGCTAATTGATGTAATTATATCCTGGCTGTAGAGGCTTTTACTATCCCATTAGTGTGTTGTATCTCCAATCTGTGAACATGCCAGAGATACACACTTATGGGAATATATGTATAAAAGTGTAAAGTTTTATGAAAATTGAAAGTGAATCGTTACTGTTGGTGATGTTCTGTTTAGATAAATTGCTTGGCTTCATGTATGTATATTCTTGTACACTTTACTGTCAATCACAAATTTAGATTAGGATAAGCTATTTCATGTTTTACTTTAAACTCCATTTTGTTAACTTAATTTGTTATCATTATAAAGACTTACTTTAAAATTACTATTTTATTACAGAACAAAACATTTATTACAATTGCTGTGGCAACCATGTTATCCAGTGTGTTTTACTGAATATCTAAAAAAGTACATTTAATTTTCAATTCAATTTTGGAATGGTACCACGCATACACAGAATCAATTGCCTTAAAATAATTAATAACTGATGTTACTATTTTTTCTTTACTTTAAAAAAAAACCTTCTCAGTCAGAGTTAAACCTATACATTGAATAGCCACTTCATTTGTCCTTCTGAGTAACCATGGGAATAATTCCAGGTGTGGAGTGTGAGAAAGCAACTGAGCAATGCGATTTCCTATTAGTCTGTATATTGCATTGAAGTATTTATTAATTTGATTTTAGCAAAATGTGTGTTAAATGATATTTTTACATTGGCAGAATGATTTCTTGGGCTTCTGGAGTTAAAATACTTTAATCAGGCTGCATTTATACTTAGTAAACATTTAGGGTTGGGTTTGCAAGGTGACTCAGCACATAAAGGTATTTGCTGTGCAAGACTGGTGAGCAGAGTTTGGTTTCCAGAACCCATTTAAAGGTGAAGGTGAAGAGAAACAACCCCCCCCCAAAAAAAGAAACCTGATTCCATAGAGTTGTCCTCTGAGCTCTGCAAACATGCCTTAGCAGTCATGCCTCCTCTCCCCCTCCATGCATCCTCTCTCTCACACACACACACACACACACACACTTTTTAAAAATCTAATTGGATAAGCTTCATGTAAGCAATGATGGGCTGAGTTCAGAATCCTCTAAACATTGAGTGATCTACAAAAGAGTCTTGGTACTTGATAACCAGACTTATGTTTCAGTTTACTAAGCTAGCTAATGTTACATGAAAATAAAAACACTATTTTGTTTAAAAATAGTATTGGAATATTTTCGTTAACATAAAAGAGCCATTTGCATTGTAGCTAACACAGGAACGTCTTTAAATAAAGTAGGGGCTGGGGTACCTCAATGACAGAGTGCACAGAGGTCCTGGATTCAAGAATCAGGAAAAGGAAGGAAGAGCAACCAGAGCATAAGCACAGGAGATGCAGAGGAAGTGAGGCAAACGTCTCAGAACCAACACTAGAACACGGCACTAATGTGTAGAGGGGGCTCCACTAAGTATGGCAGCTCATTCTAACCATTCTTAATCAGACTCCAGGTTACTTCCATACAGATCAACTGTCTTGCTCAAAAGATGTGTTAATTCTAAACATTAATTACAAAGACTTAAATTAAGAACACACTTCCAAACAGGAGGTACAAATGAATTTAGATGAAAGCCACATAGTTTTCTGTGTTGATCATGGGTAGTTTGAATGTTCTTACCTATATTACTAAAAATCACAACTTGTCTTGCAGAGGCTTAATATGGCACTAATATTCGTTAGCATTTGCTAAATTTTGTCTAGACTGTCTGTTCTCTGGCTAGTTCTCATGTATGTCACATATCAGTAGATAACCTAGCTACAGTTCACTAAACTTCGTTGTGTAAATTTTGACATGATCTCTACTATACATAGACTATATTGGGAATTTATTACAAACATGTAATTTACTAATAGCTAAAACATTAGACTTTCATTCACCTCTACTAATGCTTTGAAAATTACAAGTATTGGCAAATGTAGTTAGTAAGTCCTAAACTTAGTGTGTTCTACTTGCTAGTATTATTGACCATGTAATTAACTAATGAGTGAGTAAAATGATTCAGTACCCACATA